CATGATGTACTTGTTGACCTCAAAGGATGGACTAGATTGAATTAATCAAAACATTTCAAACATATAGGTGTGCAATAAGATGAACAACGCCAACGTTAAAGAAATCTATAGTGATCTACCCTCAGGTCCTATTTTATTTATATCATGATCAGCTTAGGATTTTATGCTGCTGTTTGGCTTATAGAGATGCATTTTCCACTAGCATAAGCTTTTGAATAAACATAAATCTAATGTAATCACTTAATTTTTTACAGATATCTGCAGAATAGGTAAGAACTCCTGCTATCCAGGAATAAGAATTTAACTGAACATGTTTTCTCTGTCAAGCTGTCTTTTGGTTACAAATTAGAAAATCAATTACATGTGAATGTGAGTAGGAGGAATGAAGAAGGAGACAATTATAAAATCTATAATGAACAGTTTTGGGATACAACAACCTATTTTCTCCTATGAAACTTTGCTTCTCTCTAGAAGCTTGAATTTTAGCAACATTCTTTTACGAGACTGTGAGAAAAGGGCAAACTCTCTCCAACATATCATCAAACTGTGCATTAGGGAATGTGGAAATGTGACATTTAGAAGCATTGTTATGGGGGACACAGATATTGGGGACTTAGTGCACATATTCATCTGAATACACAACAGTAATATGGTTTATATGGTTTCCTAAACAAGGATGTAAAGATATATACAATATATACAGCTTGATTATTTACTGAACATTTTGACCTATTTGCATTAGTTTAAAAAAAGTCTTATTTTCATGGAATAACAAAAGAGAATATATAATTTCTATTACTCATAGCCCTTAAGATTAAAAGGTTAAAAAATTTTTATTCCAATAGTGATTATGTTTATGGCACAAAACTAGCCTGAAATATCTAAAAAACTAAGAAAATGTAATATTTGTGGAGTTTGGTATCTTTGAGGCCAGAAGACGTCCATTCCATCACCCAACTTGTTAGCCCTTAGTCACAGATTCTTTATAAGGTTCAGGTTAGATCATGCTGGTAAAATTCAAAGATTTATTTAAGCTTCCAATCTTTCAGGGATGTGAATAATGTTTTCCTTTTTTTTAATAAAACACAATCGAGAAATTATTGTTACTATAATTGTGTGTTTTGATTTTTCTTTGAAGTTGTGAAATTAAAATAAGTTCTACAAAAATATGAGGGATTATAATTGGAATCCTTGACTACATTAATAGCATGTCTTGAAATTATTCTGTATAGCTAAAACCTAACTAAGACGTTTCTAATCTTGAGTGTTTAGGCAATGTTTCATAGTTTACTGTCTGCATTACAGTCTGTTTATTAAGTATGTGAAGAATTAGGAATTACTTCTGCTTAATAGGAGGCAGAATTCATCATAGAATTTAACTAAATCAATTCTCTCTGTCAAGCTTTCTTTTCTGTAGATGTGTTTAAAAGTACATTAAGCATCAAACTGATGAATGAATTACATTCTTAAAACATTGGGTTTTCAGTAGAAATGCCGCAAAAAGAAAACCGGCTTCTTTAGGAATTAGCATAAAAGAAGTTTTGTGTGACCAGTCATTAAAATCTTTAATCATTACGTTAAATCAGTGCAAATACCTAGTACTGACAGTTTATGGATGGATGGATGGATGGATGGATGGATGGATGGATGGATGGATGGATGGATGGATGGATGGATGGATTCTAAGTGTTCACATTTTTTGCACATTTTCACCATGAGCGTGTTCACTTCATAATTGAGGCTGAATAGATTAAATTTCTAGATGTGTTTAAGAGAAGCTGAGAAACATCAGTGCTGCAGCTTTTCCCAGAGGGAACCTAATTGCTATATTTGCAGTTTAGCTGGATGAAGATTAAACATAATTTAGCTAAAATGGAACAGAAACAGTTTGTGTTAAAGTTAAATACTTGCTTGTGCAAAATCTTATCTTAAGTTACTTTAATGCTATTTCCTGATGACATCAGTATATATATTGGAGAGCTGCAACTAATGATTATTTTGCTACACAATGTCTTGATTCTTTTTTCAATTAAATTAGATAGAAAGAGATGCCTTAAAGAAAATTTTATACAGAATTTAAACCAGGTGAAGCTAAAATTATTCCACTTGAGGAGTTCTGGATTGAACATATTCTCAGACTTTAAAAAAAAAAAATCTTAAATGCAAATGGTTTATATAATTATTAAAAGTTAGTCTGTGTGCTCCAGTTAAGGATTAATTGATTACTGATAATGGATTGCCATAATGTTATTTTGGTATTGATTTGTTCTTTTCTATTATTTGGCATTTTTAGAATACCAGAATTTACCAGAAAAGGTATTGTTTTTCATTTAACTGATTTATCATTAAATACTAAATGAAATTTTACTTTACCAATCTACAAAACATGTTTTTACAAGTGCTTTGATTGGATGATTACTTTTAACTTTTTCATTCATAAAAATATATTGCAGTAGTTTTACTCTTAAGTACACCTTTGGCTACTCTACCCACCTCTGAAAATGGCTGAGGCACATTTTGCTCTATAGTGAGAATGGAAGACATCTAGAGGATTTTTTTATCTTTAAAATCTTTTATGATGTATGACATGGGAAACATGCACATTAATGTGGGCTTTCATATTGATGAATTGCACTCTTAGTATGTGGTACAAGAAATGCTGAATGTCTTTTAGAGAACCATGTTGGATTTTAGAAACAAAAACAAATGACAGATTGTACCATTTAAACACAACTGACTATGTTAGGCTGGTCTCTGTCAGCCATCACAACAGTATTCGTAGTTCCACAAAACAAACAAATGAAAACACAAGCTACCAAGAAGATATAATGTAATTTTCATCATAGATCCTAAACTCTTAATTATCAAGGTAAAAACGGTTTGCTTTTCATGTTTCCAGACAACTTTTTTTCTTAACCAGTTATGAAACCCCCATTATCTGTCTTTGATTGATGTTCAGATACATCCAAGCATCTACATCTAAAGCAGAATTTTATTCTAATAATCTTGACTTTTTAATATTATTTGAAAAAAACAAGTTTCACATTTAAGCAATTTCATTTCTGACCAATCTCTTAAAATTTTATCTAAAAATATATTTTTATACAAAACAAAAGCTTGTGCTAATGTTGAAAAATCCCAATCTCACCAAAAATGTAACTGCACAAGTAAATGGAAGAAAATAAAACTTCAATGATGAGATATCCTGGTGGCTCAGATGTCTCAGTTTTCGCTTAGGAGGGGTAACTGCACTACAAACAAGCCTTTATAATCTGTGTATGTCAAACTTCACAGACCAAATAATGTCTTAAATAAACTGAAATTTGAATCAAGGTCATTACATTAAAAAAATAGACATGTCATCCTGCCCTTAGAGAATTTAACTGATAAAAAAAAAGCCTTTCAGACATTCTTACCTGGACTGTATAATTGGGAAGCCTAAAAATATTCAGTTGGGTAGTTTTTTTAAACTTGAAAATTTCTATTCTTTAAATGTTTTTACCTGAATTGCCTTTCTATCATTAGTTCCTTTCATACAAGTTTTTTCTTTTCCAGGCTCCTGTACACCTTAAACTTTACATTTTTGATCGTCTCATATTATGTAGTCTTGTGTGTAAGTCCACAATCTGTGAGACAATTGAGGCACTTCTTATCTTTTCTTTCCTCAGGCCCAGTTCCTGGGGTAAAAGACCAAGCCTCAAAGCGAGCAAGCAAGCTAGCCATCCAATCCATCTGTGCAAACTGGGTCCTATTTCATGCAGTCTATGCACAAGTTCAAAAGCCATAAAAGAATAATGAGGTTCCGTTATCTCTTATCACATTAAGCAGGTTGTGGTGATAAGTCAGTAAGATTTTCAAATGAACACACGATGAAAGACAAAAAAGATGTCTATAAGTTTCAAGTTATTCACTCATTTCTGTGCTTTAATCCCTAAAATTCTGAGATGTGTAAATTTTACTATTGTCTGGTTGGATAATCTGCTGCATTTGAATTATAATTTAGCTAAATGTTCCATTATTGGAAAAAAAAAAAAAGGAAAAAAAGATGTCTGTCTGCAGGTGCTGCAGAGGATGAGGGATTTTTCAGGTTGAACAGATAGAGATTAAATATTAGCCTTTCTAAACTCCTATAGACGAGACACTTTCTTATTCTTCTTCTGTTGTTTTTTTTTTGGTGGATGGCAACCAACTTAACGTTTATTTAACACCACCTACCAGACTGGAGTGTGGCTATCAATGATGTCAGAGGGAAGTTATTAATTCATACCTCAATGGTATGAACAAAACTGCATATTATCTATGAATCAATATCTATACAAACGTACATATAAATTAATATGTGTGAATATTCACATGCATATACACACTTATACTCTTTATTTATATACGATTAAATAATCCAGTGTTTTTTAACAATCTAATTAACTGATTTCTAGCAGAATTAGATGTATTTCCTAGAAGGTTTATCATTGAAAATCCAATTTTTTCTAACTTTAAATGATGACCTTTCTGTGAATACACATTCCATTAATATATGTTCCACTTTTTCTATCTGATTACAGTGATTACAAGTCCCTGTGTCATGTTTCCCTATTCTGAAAAGAGAACTATTAAGTCCAGTATGACCAATTCTAAGTCGAGATATTATTACCTTTTCTTTCAGTCTTCCTTTTGAATAACTCTTACCCCCCACAGTCTTCTGAATGTTATATAGATCTCCAGCAGTGTCATGATTATCGCATTGTTCCTGCCAAATCTTACAGATTTTATTTTGAATTATAGATTTACCCTCACTTTTGCTTAAAGGAATACTTAGATTAGACACTTTCCAAGCATGCTGCAGGTTTAACTGCTGTAATGGGCCGTTAACTCCTGCCACTGATTGCTGCAGGTGTGATTTCTGTCCCACCACTGAAAGAGAACGTGCTGTATGTTTCTCCCAAATGTAGTCCAATCTTTGGTCACTTTTTTGCTTTTTTCCCCCACCTCTGAATCTTGTACTTAAATAAGAAGCAATGTATTTAACACCTAACCTCTCCAACCTGTCGGATTCAGACCATCTGCAGGACCTAACCCACCGCTCCGCCAAAGTAAGCGTCATTATCGTGCTGGGAGTGATGATCACTTTGGGAAATATTGCAGTTCTCCTGGTCATCACTTCCTCTGTGGCTGGCTGGTCCAGAAACTCCAGGTACTTCCTCCTGTCTCTCACCGCAGCGGACTCTGCCTTCGGTTTGCTCATCATGCCACTGAACCTGTCGGTGAGTCTGCTGAAGGACTACAGTGAGGGCCCGGACACTCTCTGTCATGTGGTTGCTTTCTGCAACGCCACGGTCTACTCCACCTGCATGTACACGCTGGCCACCATCAGCCTAGAGAGATACATCGCAGTGTTTTACCCGCTGCAGTACTCCACTCTCATGACCAGAAAGCGGACTCTGTCCCTGATCGCCTTCGCTTGGTGTTTCCCCCTCTTCTTGCTGTCTCCTATCACCTTCCCAAACGGCATCATCGAGGTTCACTTTTCCAACGCATCGCTGGTCTGCAACCCGTCTTACTCTACGAACGTTGCCTACACTTTGAGCTTGACCTGTTTAATATTTTTCCCCTGCTCTATTGTTATGACGTATGCAAACTTGAGAGTTTGGTGCGCAGCCAAGAGACAGAGGCTGAAACTGCGCAAATACGGCTGTGCGCTGCGCAGTAGGCACAATGTTGCTGCAAGAGTGCTTGTCCCAGTCATGGCAGTGTACTACACCTGTTGGACACCCTGCATGGCGGTTATGATCTACAATGGTAAGCAGAGCATTACAGCCAATCAGCATTAAGGAAGTATTATAAAAGTAATTGTTTTTTTTAACCAACAGTTCCATTTAATTAAGACTTTTAGACATTTAATTAACCCAAATCTGTTTAGACTCTCTATAAACCACAAACGCTTGGCAAAGTTCAGTTTTTGAAATAATCAGATCTTTTTGTTTTTCTGGAGACTAGATTCCTTATTATAATACCTCATGATATATTACAATATTCAGTTCAATTCAGCTTATTTATATAGCGCCAATTCAAAACACGTCATCTCAAGGCGCTTTACAGGTCACCAGATCATACAGTCAAACTGATTCAAAGTTTTCTATCTAAGGAAAAAGTTGATTGCATCGACTCATTGACTGGAATGAGATCCCTCACACTAAGCATGCTTGTAACGACAGTGGAGAGGTAACAACTCCCTTTTAACAGGAAGAAACCTCCAGCAGAACCAGGCTTAGATTAATACTGCAAAGTTAATTTAGTTATGTATGAAGTGAAGCATTTAGAGTTTGAGTGTAGTGCGATATAATGTCTACTTTCCTGAAAATTGGATAAAATTCCATAGGTGCAAAATTTATATTTACTATACTACAGGACTTTTATGCAAGCCAGTTGGACAGGTTATTATTATAAAAATATTAATGGTAATTCATAATAATAATACTAATTTAACTTGATTGATGTCCCTTTGGAGAAATGTACCTCTGCATTTAACCCATTCTATTGGGGAGCAGTGGGCTGCCATTGTTTGGCGTCCAGGGAGCAGTGTGGGGTTAAGGGTCTTGCTCTTGAACCCAGAGTGGAGGCAGTGGGATCAAACCGGGTACTTGCAACCTTCTCAGAGCACAAGCGCACTGCTCTAACCACTAGACCAACCCTCGCCCCAGTTAAGCCAGGTACTGGCACTTTTAGCTGGTAATCTTTGAGTTAGGAGGTGTAAAGTGCTGCAGGAAAATAAAATTGGCATCTCCGTAATTTACTATGTTGTGGCTCTTTGCTAAGTAATGCAGCACTTGATTCTAATTAATTAGTAATTTTTTTAAAGAGAACCTTCCCAGGTAATATAGAGCATATACTCCCTGGGCATCAGCCCATATCAAGGATACATCTGGTGGGCGACTCTAAATTTTAGACACATTTCACAGCTTGAGAATCCTCTCTTAATTTCTTGAATGGACTGTATTTTAAAATCCTCTCAAGATTGCAGTGATGACGTTTGCTCTTGCAGCCCTCTTTTTTTATTTTTATTTTACAACACTTTTACATTCTGCTCAACTTTCCACGGTTGTGAATTACTCTTCTTTAAATAATAATAATAATAAATATATAAAAGCACCAAAGGGTGATATTTTAATTCCGAGGACCTGAACTTTGAGTTATTAGCTGCAAACAAAGTCTACAGAAATGAACTAGAATATATAATGATATTTTATGTTTTTAATTTAACTAAAGAAATAACTTTATTGATTGTATTCTAATTGAACTGTTTCTGCATGTTGGTCATGAGACAGACTTATACAGGACATACAGTTATTGCTGTATGTCCCAGTGATGACTTAAGACATGCATAGCACTTAGAATCAAATATAATGATACTATATAGTCTTCACATGTTGCTTGATGTCTGTGCAAATTATACCAGCTTCATATGTGAAAATATTTTAAGCTTTGCTGTTTCGAAGAGAGCAAGACATCTGTCTTTCAAAATGAAACATCTTGTCGTCATCTCCCCCTTCAAGTTTGTCAGTTTGTGCCAAGTTTGTGGGCAGAATAGCTGTCAAGAGTTATTTATATAAGCATGGCCATGAATGTACTTTAAAGTGCGGCTATGACTCAGGCTTTTTTTTTTTTTTTTTTTACTTTTTCCAATTCATCCCAATTATTTGCTGTCTTGGAGTAATCTGTGTGAAAGTGAAGTTGTGCCTGAATATTTTTAGAAGAGAAGACCTATTTTCCCTTTTTTATCGAATTTGGGCTTTAATCTATCAGATACAGATGAAAATCCCTGCAAAGTGAAGCTGAGAGTCTTAATTTAAACTGCAAGTGTGCACTCTTCTAAATGCTTACAAGCCTCACAGTAAAGCACTTTACTTGGTTCCACTAAGCCTCAGCTACTTGGTCATGACCTAAATTACTGTAAAGTGAAAAATGATTTAGAGTCGGTGCAAATATCAGGAACAGATGAGACGTGTTATGTGTTTAAAATAAAGATGATATAAATCTTAGATGTAAACAAACATTTGGGGGGAAAAATCTTGTTAGCTGTATGCCAGATTTTTTTAAATATGTTTATTTGAGCTATTGCCCTTTGTGTATCTTATAATGTCTGTGGTATTTGATCTGAAGGTTGATGGATGTATTTCACTAGGAATCCAATTTATTTGTGATAGACGTCTCTTGTGGAATAATAAATCCCCTCCCCCCCTCTTTTTTTTTTTTTAAACATCTCATTTCTGCTACCTTATTTGATTGGTTTTATTGAGACTGTTTAGAATAAAATTCATGTCTATCAGACACAACATGTAATAAAACCTTGCTGACAACTCGTAGCCGTAATGATTTATGTTTCTGCAAGTAAAAATTCTGCCAGAACTACAGGTTGATTCTAGGTGTTAGAGCGTCCTCTCATAGCAACCAGCATATTCAGTGTTTAACTGCTCCATATATTAAATGTATACATTATATTTTACTAAAATTACATTTACAGTAGAACATAAAACAAAGCAGGACTTTAAAGATGGTCATCTAAATTTCAGAACTTTAATCGGGTTGCGGCTGGATTTTCTTTTTCTTTAGAACAGGTTTTTCAGATGGCTTTTCCTCTTTATGTGTGCAGTTAAAAACTCTGTTTACATTATACCCAGGCACACTGTTTAGTGTTGCCAGTGCCAGGATAGAAGGTGCTGATTGAAAAAAAAAATGGTATAAAGAAAACTGAACATCCTACAGGAAACAAAGAAAAGGTTTTGCTCTCAGGATGTTTTATTTTATAAAATAATAAAAAAGTACCTTAACACAATGATATATATTTCAAAATGTTAAATGATTAAGTATAGCTTTGTACAGTCGTTTTAATCAAAAGTAATCATTCTTTGGAAACTGAGCACCTGTGTTATTTCTGTCATCAGTCTAATAACTTATTTTCCATATTTTCCACAGCAGTCTCTGGGAGCAGTGTACCAGAGTGGGTCGAGTTTGTTGTGGTGTGGCTCCCAACCTCCAATGGTTTCCTCAACTGCATCTTCTACTTCTGGATAAACAAAAACTTTCGAAGGAAGTTCCACCTCATCCTGCGGAGGCTGGCTCTGTCCCTCTGTCCTGAGCTGGCTGAGACATTGGGGTGGAGCACCACTTCATCAGCACAGTTCGTCTCAGGCATTTTAGACAATAACAACCTGGTCCATGAGCGCTCCTCAAGTGTGTCCTCAACCTGCACCTTGCTGAGCTTGGCTTAGGACCGTTTAACCCAGAAACGGCATGTGAAGCAAATGACATGGTCAGTGACCTGTGTACTTTTAAAACCATTGCCCAGTTATTGGTGTTTTAACAAACTAAATCATGGGTAGAGTCAATTGCAGTGCAAATAGTTTCAATTCTAAAAGACTCTGGTGAGATCTGAGTAAAATATGTGCAGTCGGCATCAGTATGATTTATTTTTTTTTTATATATATATTATTTCCAACTCAGAACAGCGTTACGCTGATTGATAAACGGAGCTAGGTTTAGTTATTTTACTCAACGATGCACCATTGCCATGATTTGATTTTCAATCTGAGATGGTCTCTTAAATCACCATTTTAGTTCTTTTATAGCTACACATCAGCTTTGCCTGTGATACTGATATGCCTGTGATTATTCTACATACACCTTGTTTTAATGCGTCAAGCAGTAACATCACATCACATTTCATCCCTTCCAGATTTGTCATTTAGCTCATCAGAGGGAAGTGATATTTAGGCTTCTTCTCATGTGAGATTTTCTGTGAACGCTGCAAACTGATTTCAAACACTTTGAACTACTGAGGCGATCAACCTTTGTTCATTTTAAACTATTTGGCATATAGCAGCTGAGAGAAGTTAACCTTTAAGTCACAGTATTTCAGTGCTTGCAAGAAGAAAAGTAATTAAGCACCTGGACTGCTGGAAGGTCACCATAGTCATGCCAGGAAGAGACAACTTGTGTTTGGAAGATCTTGACTCAAAATCTAAAAATAGTCACTTAGATGGAGGAGCTACACCTCAGTATGTTTGTATTCAATGTCAAAATAAACATTCTTGTTTATAATAAGGTTTATTCATGGTTTCATACAGTTATTTTTAAACTGCTGCTTGGTACGACATGATTCAGGGAAAAAACAAAACAGATGACTGATTTAACTTGTATGTATGTTTCTAGAATTAATTGTACACTTGTTATATATGAAGACAAATTGATTTATAGATATTTAAAATAAAGTATGATACATTTGACTTGTTTGTTTGAATTCCCTATATGTGGTAATATGTAATGAGTGTTTTGCGCTGACTATAAACAATAATTTTGGGTTTGTTCCATTGCAGAAATATCTCAGGACAAGTTGTTTTCCATCAACAGCATTTGGCATACGTTGTTTAATAAAGCCTAAGGTTTAGACAAAATAAGATGAAATGAGTTTAGCTGACTTCAAAAGTCTCCTTTATATATAAGCATCTGTTTTTAATTTGATTGATTCTATATTGTTCGCCATGTGTTATGTGATTCGAAGTTTATCAAATTTAAAGCATATTAGCACAAGCAAAACATTGTGCGTCTTGCTTTGTACAGTTTCTATTTTAAGTTTTAGTGTAAACTAGAGCCTAGGTTCTTTCTGTGACTTTCCTGCAACTCTTAGATGCATCACCTCTCCATAACAATGGACTCAAATGAATGACGGGTTACCAAGTCAGTCCAGAGGTGAATCACTGATTAGGGGATTCATCGATTTCATTTACATGAGTGGGAGCAGTGAAGAGCCCAAAAGTTGCAGAGCAAAAAGCTCTCAAGCGTTCGACTTTATGTTAGAAACATAATGCATGTTACAATCTTCTGGCTCCACTTTTGTTTTCTCCAATGCGACCATTTCTTTCCATGTAAAAATTTAGAATATTTCTGACACAACCATAATAAAATTTTATGTTTATACCCCGCTCGTCAGACTGAAAGATCCCCTTGTTATGCAGAATTCATTAACAGGAAACCCCATAGCGGTACAATGTTTTGCTTAAATCATGTTTTTTACTTTCTGTTAAGGCTTTTTTTTTCCCACATTCTTTTAGCTGCATGTAATTTTTTATTTTCTTGGCCAAGCCATCCTTGTTAAAAAGATTCCACATCTCAATGGACTTCTTTCCTGGTAAAATAAAGGTTAAATTGAATAGATAACTGACAGACTATTGTTTTGGTTCTTCAATCAGCTATGGAACTGTTTTTAAGCTCCTCCATCATATTTACTGATAAATGAAATATGTTGGACTGCTGCTTTGAAAGCATATTTTGTAGTTAATATCCTCGGTCAGACAATCATTTATCCTGCACCATTGAGAAGATATCAACTTACAACTCTGGTACTTTAGATGTGTTGAAGTGCAGAAGGGCGATCTAAACAGCTCAATGACCTACTACCATCAAACTTCAGAGAGCTCCACTTAAGCTGCATCCAAGACCAGAGCTCTGGCATCGTTGAAGAGCCTTTCCACCAACACACTCCCTGTTCATCCTCAAAGTTTATGAAGAAAAATCTAACCCTGAGAGAACACTATATTGCTGCTTCATGCGAGCTGAGCATTAAAACAGGAAACAAATACAACTCTAGTTTGTTATAATCAGTACTTTTTGTGTCATAACATTTTGAATAATGATGAATAATACCAAAATGAGTTATGCTAATTTACACCTACCAGAGGCATGTTAGATAACAGGTTGAGCTGCAAGTATTGAGTGAAAGAAAATCTCCCAAATAATCTGAAAAATAAAATATGCTGCTATACATTGTTTTGACCTTTATCTAATGAGGTGAAACTGCAAGTGTTATTTGCAGCAAATGAGGATTGAAATGATTTTTATCCAAAAATTGAATACTATTATCAGTTATAAAAGGTCAATATAAAAATAGTACTGTTGCCTGGCCAAATAATATCTCTTAACTTTTCATTTTACCTGCTGCATCCACACACCATATTTTGGTGGGGGGATTTATTTGGTCGATCAATGTAAAGTAGTGTCTTACCGTGAAGTAGAAATAAATTGATCTATAGATTTCAAAATACAAAACAGGGTTAAGTGCAGTATTGCTTTTCAATCACACTGGATGCAGGTGTCTTAGATGATAGATAAAGAGTGATCTATCAGCCCTTTAAAGCTTGGAATATTATTTTACAATAAACATTTTCTTCCCACAGTTTCCTCTGTAAGCTGTCTTGTTTGTTCCTTTCCCCACATGAAACAGATGGTTAACCAGAGTTCTGAAGGCATTTGGTTGCACTAGATTTACCTTTAGGGGTGTCAGAGTAAGGTAACCTGATTACAGATTTTTAAAACTTTCATTATTTCATTCCAACAGTTTGGACTACCTTTTAGTAGAATACCTCATAAAATGCTTAGGTTTCTAGCTGCTATGTAAATAAATTGCAATGGGCTGTTAATCCTTTTTTTCCTGTGCATACATTTTAAACAATTTATAATCATTAATAGATAATAATCCTTTATTGCAGCAGACTTATTAAAAAAGATTAAGCTAAACAGCAGTATTTGAGTGCTTTTACTGGTCTATATCCATTAGAGGTCTATTTTTTTGTAGATCTTTAGTGTAATTGGAACAAAATAGAAAAAGAAGTCTTACAAAAGGGAGTCACAAAAAACTGCAGGCTCCACACAGCGGACCCAAAATATTACACTTTTGCTTTCTGATAAAATAGTGTCCTTAGTTTTTTTTTTTTAAGAACACCAACAGAAGGATTTAGTTAGGCTTTATAAAAAAAATAATTAGAAAAATATATCTTATACTTTTACTTCTTCTTCTTTAACTATAGATAGATTCATTAATCTTGCTGCATCCCAAAGTGGTATTTTCTAGCTGCCCTGTGTTTGTTGCCAAGCAGGTCTCTCAGGAAGACGGTGAAGTGTTGTCCATTAACACCCTCAGTTCTCCTCAAGGACTGCTTCTAATAGATGTGACAGGAGACTCAGTCATGGAGAGTAATGTTTATCTAATGTTTGTACAGATGCAACATGCTGTTTCACTGATCTCCTCTGCTCTTGTTAAAATGCCTACTACATCGAGGAAAGCAAACTTATATGCAGCAAAACACTAATGTATGGCTTATGTGCACTTTTCAGATTGTAACAAAAAGGACATTTCTTCCAAATTAAAATTCAGATATCCTGTTTTTCATATAATGGACCTCCAAACAAGTTTAAAACCCCAGCTTTGTTAGTGCATTGTCATTGGAAAATGACTGTAAAGCATTTCATTGTGCTTAGCCTTTATCATGGTCACACCATACCAGTCGCAATTGTGCAAGTCTTTTCAGTCCTTGCTGAATGTTTTTATCACCATGCATGGCTATGATGAGATTTATTGTGTTCACTGAAAACCTGCAGATAAACAAAGAGTGGGTGTGTGAGCTACATTGAACCTTTCTGTACAATGCAGTAGAAGTTCAGTCTTCATCAGCACAGCAACTAGAATATTCTGACACTGAGTTTATACTGCCATCTTGTGTTTATGTTAAAGCAGATAAAATAAACTAACAAAATTTTATTCTAAATTGTTTTTTGTGAATTAAAGAAAGGATATCCAAATAATTCTATCAGAGCTATTTGAAACATTTGTGGTATTTGGGGATACGTGATTTCAGATAATTCATAATGAAAACTGTAGGCACTCGACATATTTTCAATCAAAATCAGAGACCCTCTGTTTAGTTGTAACATGTAATGAAATCAGTCAACTAGACTTTTTGTGTCCCAAAAGAAGGGGGGTAAATCACTGGCTGTACAGTCGTGCAGTCTGTGTATTATGGGCCATAGATACTCTAACCTAAGAGGGCTCTTGCTGAGGTTTCAGATGGAAAGGCTTTTATTTCAATAATGAGCTTTTCCTGCTCTTCTCCACTTACATGTCGGGAAAGTAGCTCAGAAGAGCAGGCAGACCTGTTCCTGATCTAGGTCAAAATACTATTTGCTTTTAGAAGGACTGGGCTATAAAAAAGTTAGATTTTTCAAAAGAAATGAAGGAATTAATGTAATGTTTAGACAAAACTGCAAAATAGTTATTAAATCCTTATATACAAACGTGAAAGAAAACCTGGAATAAATTGTCACTTTTAGAAGGATGACAGTTCATTTTAGTTTTTCAATTTATGTTCGTTTATGACCATTATTCCAAAGAAAATAAGAACCATAAATATGTTAGATTCTTTACAGAATTATCAGCTAAAAAGCTGAAACTTGACTTGATGTTGATGAAAATATGTACAATAGAAGATCGAATATATATATATATAAATAAAAGAATATATAATGATAGAGTCAGCATCTTATTTAAGAGCTATCTAATGATGATCCTTATCTAATGTTTGTTTTTATGACAAATGCCGAAATACTCATTAATAAAAAAAACAGCTTTGGCTGAACAAAGGCCCTTAATTGATTAATTTTATAACTTGCTTTCCTGTTTCGGTTTAAAAGAATGTTGTTGATGTTTAAACATGTTTTAGGATTTCCAGCTAAAGCGACCAGCTTACATTAGGAAATTAACCTGTACAAACCATATTAATGAACCAATTGAACATGTAATGCAACCAACCTGTGGCTTAATCTGTCCTTTGCTACTTTTACTTGGATTAAGCAACTTAATTAGCAAAGTATGCAGTATTGCAAGATTATCTAAAAACTTTGCACAATATTGGATAGAAATCATTAGACTCCAAAACAGTGGTTTCCGGAGAATTAAAGATATAAAGAAAATAAATGGTTTATTAGTATAGTTTGCCATCATAATTTGGTTTAATATACTCAAAGTGAATTATTTTTACTCCTGGCAGATTAAGTTTCAAAATATTTTTTAATGTAACTAATATGTCTACTTGGACATTAAGTAATATGAACATTTTTGAGTGACAGGTATCAAATTTGAATCTGATGGAGCATCGGTTTGAGGAGGCAGCTAAAGACTAGCGAATTGGCAAAGAGGTTTTCCAACTTCAAAGACTTGTAGTTCATCCCCAAAGATAATTAGATATACCCATGGAAATATGCAAAATGTTGGTCAGATATTCCTTGTTTTTTATTGTTGTAATGCCAACATTTTTTAAGTGATTGAGTTAAATTATCGATCTTTAACATGGATATATATATATATACACACATCTAAATAAAAACATGATTTTTGTTCTTATTTTGTACAGCTTTAATGCAGCTTTATCATTTGTCAAGACATTCATATCCTATTATATATCAGGCACTGACTGTATTAATGAAAGAGAAAGATCCAAAGCCTAATTGTATGTTCAGTAACAAAAACTGCTCTGAAAAATGATTATTTCTACTCTTAGACTAAGCTAATAAGTCCACATTTTTACTTGATAGAATCTATTAAGCAAATAAGGGTAAAAAGAAACTAATAATAACAATTGAACATTTGAATAGAATTAATGCTAGGCAATCAGTTAAAAGGGTGAGATCTAGTTTAGAAATGTTTCTCAGTTCAATGAGAAGACAATATTAAATCAAATCTACATGAGTAATCTTTTTGCAGTTTTCTCTGATGACAGTACTTGGTTCCTCGTGATGACTAAGGTGTGTGAATGCACTGTAAAAAGGTCATTTTGCAGCAAATTCAAAATCTCTTTCAAGCTAATAAACTATTTGACTAGCAAACATAAAATTTGGACAAACACACAAATACATGTAAAGAAAAAAAATGCTGCAAATGAGAATGCTGCACTAACAGCAGGCAGCAAAGTGAAAATATGTAAACAGAAATCACGCAGCACAAACACACGCAACGTAAAAATGCTGCAAGTAGCAAAAACAACTGCAAGTTTAGAAAAGCTGCAAACTTGTGCTGCATAATTGAAGTGCTTCAGATTATTAAAAAAAAAGCCATTATTATTTAACAGAAATATAGATAGGATGCTTTCCAGAGGGAGGAAAGAAAAGGTTTCTTTGATTTTTTTTTAAACAATTAATCTCTATTAGCATCAAATGTTTGTTTTACTAAAGGACTGAAGCATATTTCCTTTGATCGTGTTTTATGCGTTAGTCTGTTTTTGGGTTTGCTAGTCTTTTAAAATGTGAAGTTTTTTTTTTTTTATTTGCTATAAAATCCTGTATTTAAGCCACTTTTACACTCCTTGACCACAGTCGAAAAGGTGGTTTAGAATGAGAACTAGTTTTGGAAACAGACAAGAAAAGGGGGCTCCTCCACTTCAGACTCCCCTAACTGTTAAGTGTGCTGCAGTTTTCTGAAAAGCACCACCAGCAGAAATATTTAGAATAGCTTTTTCAATAATAAAAGCCATTTAAAAAACTTTAAACACTCAACATTTCGACATACACTTCTCAAATTTCAATGATTAAATAAACCACCATTCCATTGAGCCTGAATGTTCAGAAATGACAAAATATATCGTATAACTCGACAAACTTTCAAAGGTAATCTTCAAGTATATATGGAAAATGTTTCTTTGTTTTACTTGTCTGAAAAGTAGAACTAAAATCCTTGCAGGAGTTCTAGCAGATAAAAGAAATGTGGTTGATTTCAAGGTCAAAATGATCACCAATGGAATGAGTATTTTTTTACCTTAAAAATAAATAGACATGCACTTGAAATAATAAAATTGTTTTCCTTGTTTTATATATAAATCGTATTCCACTGGAAAATGTTCGACCTATCTGCTCATCACATAAAAGGGAAATACACAATACAAATACATACAATTTTTGCATAACCCTTTGACCCGGAAAACAGAAGATACTGTATGTTGTAAACAATTGAAGGCATGCAAGACCCAGATTTTTTATTCTAAAGTTAAGATCAAATGATGACTTCCAAATGATGCATAACACAAGCTAAATTTAACAGTTAATTATTCTGTGCCTAAATAATTTGTAGCTCTCACCCACTTTAGAACTGAACTATGATAATAAATAGAAAAAAATGACATCAGATAAACATTGTAGTGCTGAATAAACCAAAATTACACATTTCTTTTATTTCGAAAGAGGGGTGAGATATTTACTACAATTTATTATGGGTACTAAAAAATATTTCATGTTCTTGAATCCCCATGATAGCAAAATTACACTCTCTTAAATAACCACAAAGTATAATTGAAACATGATTAGAAAAAAAAAGGAAGAAACTAATTTAACACAACATTAATTCTGGACAGATTGTATTTGCAAGAAAATTGACAGATGCAATCAGACACGGTTTAAACAGCAAAACTGTACACTGAGGAAAGGAGGGTAGGAACTCCACCCTTTAAATGAGTTTTGGTGACATGTTTTCAGTGTATAAAATGGGAGAATATGGCAGGCATTTTAACACATAAAAAAGGAAATAATATTTTATTTTTATCTGGTTGGTATCCTGCTGTAATTTTTTCCATGTTGTCCCTGTTTAATGTCTGTATAAGTACCCAGAACGTATTTTACTTCAGTACCAGATAAGTAGGATGAAAAATTATTTTGAGTTTAGTTTTGGAGCCAAATTTTCAATTAATAATAACACAGTGTAGCCGATCAAGGACAAAGATTTCATCAAACAGCTTCTTTTCTCTTCTTGCAGCAGTCCATGCTGACAGTTGCAATTGTGTTTGTTAGGCATTAGACAGGTTTGTTCAAAAGAGAGAAAAAAACTATTCAGATGAAAAGAATGAGACAAAGCTTTCAAGAAGACTTGTGCTCAAACATGAAGAAACGATACAGGACTCCAACCGCTGCTGCAGCAACAGTTGGTATGACCCACATGGCCCAGGAGCTGAAAAGAAGCAACAAGTTTGGAATCATGTTATTCCTTTCTTTAACATATCTACAAAGATTCCTAAACTACGCTTTTGTAAATATACAAAGTTAAACTTGTAAAAATCCAGATAAACACACCTGGACTCTCCGGAATCTTTAGACTCCACCACCTGTAGCATAAAAAAGGTATATAAATAAGGCAAAAAAATAAAAAATTGGAAACTTAAAGGAAAAGTCCAGTCAAATTCAGAATACAAACTTCTGAAAGTACTTTAAGTATGAAATTATTACATAGTTTTCAATAAATGATAAGGGTTTTTAATTAAGAGCATTTTAATTTGAAAGTGTTTTACCGGAGACGTCCATGTTTGTCAAAGAACACTGCTGCCACCTACAGGTTTGTGACATCATGGTTTGGTATCGGCTGTTGAGCAAGTCCCAATGCTGTATCTGGTGTTTTTCATAATGCGCTATTATTCATAATGGTGGTGACCAGTGCACTATGTGGAGGCCAGAAGTTCAAAAGCAAATCCCCCCCTACTTCCAACAACAAATCCGTGGTGGATCATGAATTGAAAAGCTGGAATAACACATTTTTTTTTTCTTTTCATTTTTACCCAATGTAATACAACATCCAACTGCCATGAATGTGGGTATCAGCTAACTTTAGCTCTTGTAAATTTAAATGGTGAAGTCCTCTCGAAATCTTAAATAATTGTTGTTGATTGCAGGGGTGTCTAGTAGCACCCGTTGATTTTGCTTGTAAAGCGGGGAGAATGGCGCTGGGCTTACGCACCGTGACGTCACTGCCGGAAGATGTCAGAAATGAGGTGTTACTGTATTTGGGCAAAAATGGACGGTCCAGGACGCAGTGATTGCAACAAAAAATAGTGTTTTTTTTTGTTGTTTTTTTTTTTTTACAGTTTAAGGCTAAATTCATTAAATTTAACCACAGACATATTAGTTTTAGCTATAAATAATGACCCATTGGTTAGTCCTTCCTGACCGGACTTTTCCTTTAACTAAAAATCGTCTAATAGTTTATCACAAAGTGGTACTTACCTTTGTTTTCTCCTTAATTCTGTCGTCCTACAAACACAATAATTTACTATTAATATCTTCAATGTTGCAACAGAATTTGCATTCTAATTCCATCTAGTAGATTCTTATTGCCATTTTCAAAGTATTGTACAGAATATTACTTGTCCAAGGTTTGTAGAATCTAGATTCATTCAGGAATGTACACCCTTCACACACTGATTTCTGGTTTATTCTAAAATAATTTCCAACATGTGTTTCAGATATAACTAAAAGGCAGGTATGTAAACAGACGTATATGACACAGAGTCCAGTTTTCAAGCTTTCTTTCTGTAACTTAAAGCGATAGTTCGGTATTTTTGACATGAATCTGTATGGCATCCCCATCACCAGCGGCATGCAATCACACTGACTTACCCCTGGCAGCGTCCTGTGAGCAGAGTTATCGTCCAGTTTTGGTCAAGCCAAAAGTAGTCCGGCAGGTTTTTAGGAACAGCGAAATAAAACTTTTCTCTTCCCAAAACATTATGTGTTCAAAAGAGCGATATTTTTGCATCCCATGGCTGCATTTTTGCAGCCATGTCTCCTTCCGCCGCGGAGGGAGACATGGCTGTTGTTGGGCTCGCTGTCTGAATGACGGCGCGCACTGATACGAACAGAGAGAAAATAGGACCAATTGATAACGTCGTGTGACTTTTTCCACTACAATCTTTTTGGGATGCAAAAATATCGCTCTTTTGAACACATAATGTTTTGGGAAGAGAAAAGTTTTATTTCGCTGTTCCTAAAAACCTGCCGGACTACTTTTGGCTTGACCAAAACTGGACGATAACTCTGCTCACAGGACGCTGCCAGGGGTAAGTCAGTGTGATTGCATGCCGCTGGTGATGGGGATGCCATACAGATTCATGTCAAAAATACCGAACTATCCCTTTAAGAGTCATTCCTTTCCACTCCAAATACATATTTAAGAGGAATATTCTAAAATTTTTGCTGAAATATCATACAGCAGTGCACCTTTTGATTTATGAACTCAATCGGATTCAGGTCTGGGGAAACGGGTGGGTCAGTTCATAACTTTGATGCCATCATCTTACAGAAACTGCTGACACACATAAGGTCCTGCTTTAGGAGGAACTCGGGGCAAACCGCACCAGCATATGGTCTCACAAGTGGTCTTAGCATTTCATCTCGGTACCTAATGGCAGACATGCTACCTCTGGCGAACACATAGAGGGCTGTGCATCCCTCTTAAGAAATGCCACCCCAGACCATTACTGACCCCACTGTCAAACTGATCATGCTGAAGAATGTTGCAGGCAGCAGATTGTTCTCCACTGTGTTTCCAGGCTCTGTCACAAGTGCACAGTGTGAACCTGCTTTCATCTGTGAGATGAAAAGGCCGGTGGCAAATTTGCCAAACATGGTGTTTTCATCATGGATGGTGTTCTCATCATGCACTATCTGAGCTGCTTGTGTGGGTCATACAGCCCGCCTTTTGCTAACGCATGAAGGCACCACCATCATTCAAAAGTGACCAAAACATCAGCCAGAAAGCATAGGTAAAGGCATAGGAAGTGGTCTGTGGTCCCAGCCTGCAGAACCATTCCATTATGGAGTGTGTCCCGCAGGTAATAATAATAATTTCCACCTGGTGGCTATTCCGTTTGTACAACAGCATGTGAAACTGATTGTCAATCAGCGTTGCTTCCTAAGCGGACAGCTTGATTTCACAGAACTTCATCCATCCATCCATCTTCCTCCGCTTATCCGGGGTCGGGTCGCGGGGGCAGCAGCTTAAGAAGGGAGGCCCAGACTTCCCTCTCCCCAGCCACTTCTTCCAGCTCTTCAGGAGGAACCCCAAGGCGTTCCCAGGCCGGCCGAGAAACATAGTCTCTCCAGCGTGTCCTGGGTCTTCCCCGGGGCCTCCCCCCGGTGGGACGTTCCCGGAACACCTCACCAGGGAGGCGTCCAGGAGGCATCCTAAACAGATGCCCAAGCCACCTCAACTGGCTCCTCTCGACGTGGAGGAGCAGCGGCTCTACTCTGAGTCCCTCCCGGATGACCGAGCTTCTCACCTTTCACAGAACTTTGATTTGATTAAAGTTATATTGTGGCGTTCACCTGTGCCCTTTAATTTTTTAACAGTGTACTATAAAGTACATAACTATGTTATTTATTATCATCTATGATCTGCAAGTCTCAAGCTTTATGTTTATGTTTCCATGGAAATTTCTATTTAAAATTACATAGGAGCAGGTTGTGTTTGTATGGATACAGACAGCTTTCTTCTATGGCAGCACGGAGCTGAAAAACTAGTGACTGTAGAGATCGCCATTACACTATAATGCAACTGCGGCAAGTTAGGCCTACATAAAATCTATAGCATACACAGACTAAGGAAATATTTTTTATAATATATAACGGAATCTGTTCTGGAGGTAGGAAGAAGAAACAGTCCTTCTAGGGCTAAACAAAAAAGCAACGTATAAACCCCTTAAGAGCATTCCAGGTTTTATCCTCTCTACATTATTATCTCTAGCTTCCACTTTCATTAAAGTGCCTTCACTAAAACAGTGGTCAAATCATGATACTTTCTTACGCCTGATTTTTAAACTTAATAATACAATGTCAATGTACACGAGAAAACAGTATTGAAGTATTTAGGGATTTGATGCAGTGATCAACAGATACTAATTTTGGTGATGGGTAATTAGTGATAGACTAGAACAATCCTGGTCGTTGCATCACTAATATAAACAAGCCTCCTCATCACTTGACAAGATTAGTGATGCTGAAGTTGCAAAAGCCATTTTAAACCATGACAGCTGGAGGGGCAAGAGCAGTGCTAACTGTTTCTAATGGCATTCACCTAATTGTGATTTAATACCAGTTTTATTCCACAAATAGTGTAACAACACTTTGTTGATGGCTCCTTATGTTGTATCATTGGCAGACTTTGATCAGTTAAAATCTACAATAACCACAAACATATGAATTGGGTCGTCATAGATTAAATGTAGTTGTATTATTTTGTTTATTTTTTTTAAATCAAAGTTAGATTAGTAAATATAGCGAGTGTCTTCTTACCATGTGAAGCTCTCCAATATAGTATTGCTCAAGCATCTCCCTGGCATCTGTGGAATGACCTACATCTTCAAAGCTCTCTGTGGCATCTGCTCCTGCCTGCTCCAGCAAAACCTCCTCGCCTCCTGGATGCTGATTGAAAAACATACAAAAAATAAAATAAAACAGAACCAAGCGAGAGATGTGTCACATATGCTTCATATAGGACTCCATGAAGCGATGGGAAAAATGTGTTTCTATGCAAAACCGAGCACAAAAGGTAAGGGCAGATTATTAATTTGTAGTAACAATGCTTGTTTGCAAATACGCATAAATCATTAGAAAGCCTTTATATTTCCCATTAAATTGTAGCACATTTATTTAAAAAAAAATGCAGCTGAGTATATGAGTTGTGTTAATGAAAAACGTAATCCTTTCTGTCAATGCCACAAAGATCTTTTGGATGTATTTTTAAAAACAAATACATACCTGGTCAAACACAAAACTCAATTACTAAAGTTTTTTTTTTTATTGTTGAATTTTAAGTAACACTGACATTACTTTGCAAAAATGTGATGCACTTAAAGAAGGGGACTGAGGGCCCTGAGAACCAGGATAGAGGACCACTGGTTGTGAAGGTAAGTTCAGAGACCAGCTCTGCTAAAACTCCACCTTAAAGTAAAACAACCTGTAAGAGCACTGTTGGTTAAAAAGCCACAGCAACTAAAAAATAAACTTTATGTATAAGATTACAAATCCTAAGTGATTAAACGTAAAACATTTTGGGTAAACAAGTTTTGAATTCAATTTAATTCAGTTTATTTCTATAGCGCCAATTCACAACATGTCATCTCAATGTACTTTACAGTTCACCAGATCATACAGTCAAATTAAATCAAAGTTTTCTATCTAAGGAAAACCAGTTGATTGCATTGAATCATTGACTCGAATGCAATCCCTCACACTAAGCATGCTTGTAGTGACAGTGGAGAGGAAAAACTCCCTTTTAACAGGAAGAAACCATCACAGAACCAGGCTCAGTGAGACCGGCCATCTGCTGAGGCCAACTGGAGTTCAAGGAGACAGAAGCAGAGATACAAAAAGCAGCTGTAAAAGACGGCCCCGTCCAGGAAACACACAGCCAGGCAGAAGTTTTGAAGGAGAAACTCAAAATATAGGAATGTATGGCTTCTAAATCCTTAATAACACACTATCAGACCTTTTTAATACTTTAACAAATCAGCTTATTTTCTGCAGGAGCCATTAAATGTTAGGGGCAGTTTTCTGTGACCAGGGTAGATGAACATTTAACCATGTTGCTGTGTCTTTCAAACTAGTGGTGAAAATCTACAAATACTTGTTAGTTTTACCTCCAAAGAATGATGTAATGCATGGACAAAACATGCATTGCAATTTGCATTATATATGTAAAGAGTCTGAAAGGCTAACGAACTTTAAACATCTATACAAACTGTTTGGAGTTCCAGGAAGTAGTATTACACAACAGCATGACCCTTCATGCAATAGGATACAAAAACAAAAAGTTTTAAAGAAACGTAAACGTCAAATAAAGGCTACATATAAAGACTAAGTTTATAAAAAATAATGCTTCTTACCTCCTCTAGAAAACTTGTGATGTCGTATATCTTGTTATGGATGATTAGCCAAGAATCGTTGCTCATATTATGGAGTCGGATGTCCTCTAACGTATAATATTTCACCCCCCCATCAGCAGCTTCTCCGTTTGTCTCGTTACTGTGGGTGTTTGTAGATCCGGTGCCTGTATTGTCGTTTATTTCCTCTCCCATTATAACGTTTGAGTAGAGTAAAAGCTAAGAGTTAGCCCTTGTTAGCTTCTGTTTGCACGTAAATAGGCTAGTCAACTAGATGAGCCTTTCTTCCTTTGCAGTAGAGTTCTAAAAAGAGCCCTGGCTAATGGATGGAAGAGAAAGAACCCTCAAAAATATAAAATAAGATGCGAGTCTGGAAATCGGAACGAGTACGTGGTCTTTTAGTCAGGAGATTATCAAACAACTTCACCTTAGTAGATCAGCAGACATGTGAAATGGACCAATGACGTTCCTGCTATTTCAGCGTAGAGGCTGAGACATCGCCACTGGCCAATAGCAAACTGACTTCCTGTGTCGTAGCCAATCGGATTCGGCCCTCTCAGATCACGACGTCTGATCTTTTTTTATGAGTTCGCCTCATTTGTCACCCGGCCAGGTAATTGGTCCGCCGGCGTTTATGTGTTTTAAACGGGCATCAGACTTTACACAAAATATTTTCTAGGGGTTTTGGGGCAAAATGGAGGAGGGCTGAATGAAAAAAAGTATCAAAAGCATTAACCCAGTACACTAACAACGAGACAATATGCGGGAAATTTTATGGAACCGGGAAAAACGCTGCGTTATCTAATCGAAAAAAACAAACAAAAAAAACCACCGTCAATTTCATCAGCGCCTGCTCTACCACCGGCTGACTGATGAGGAGTGTATCCACTGAGACGTCGCTTTTCTTTACATTGGAATGACGCAAATGTGCAAAACTGCTTCTGAAATTCACTTATGCAACATTACATTATGGGAGCAAATTACTATTTTGATTATTACTAGAAGGTAAAGATAGAGGCAAATAGGTTCTGGTGTTTTAGGCCAGATAAGCAACCACAATATAAAAACGTTAATCTCCCTTTTTGTCTTTCATTGCATTTAAATGCAGTTCAGGGGAAGGGGGCAATTAAGAATGTTTTATCGAGTATCATTGTTGAGGAACAGCTGTTTAAGATTAGGGTTGAAGGGGGTGTTAAACAAATAAAACGGTTTCCTAAGTGATAAGTCAAGTGCAAATCCTCAAACAGAGACAGAGAGAGAGAGAAAAAAATCTAGACTGACTGTAATCTAGCCTGGACAAAGTCGAGGGATACACAGTTACAGTTCTCCATTTCACCAAGGATGTGGCATATACATCAACTAACTAATTAATGTTCTTTAGAAATGCCAGACACATCCGCCCTAAGAGAGTTTCAGCACTTAAATTAATTTGAAATATGATTTTTTTTTTTAAATATATTTTTCAGTAATTCTCCTTTTGTCCTCTGGGGGGAGGTAGCGCATATTTTGTGCATACTGCAGAGGCAGAAGAAAAGCGAAAATATGGCTGCTTCCCTGTCTGTAAACATACGCGTTTGATTTACGAAAGCTGTTTAGTATTTTCCAGGTCTAAATCGGTTCTATATTTTTACATTCAGCTCTGTTTGTCAAAGTAATATGAAACAATGACCTCTGTGTAAATGTTTTTAGGTTTTTTCTCTCAAGGAAAAACAGGACGCGAGTTTAGCGTTTTGCCGCTTTTAGTGCGACAAGCTAACGTTAGCTGCTTTGACTGAGGTAAGTTCAATCTAATCGGTTATTTAACTCAGTTTACTGATAATATTTCGATTTGAGTAACAATTTTTGGTCTGTATTTACATGTTTGATATGACACCGAGAATTTCCATCACAAATTTTACATTTTTATTCGTTGTTATACCCAAACAATTAATCTAAACCGTGAATTAGGCAATTGTCAAAAGTCACCTAATATGCAGCAGGAAAAGGGATATTATAGGAAGATGGCCAATTAAGCTTAATTAAATGTGTGATTTAGGAAGAAAATGAATTTCAATGATTAGAAATCAATTAATTTACAGGAGTTATTATTCAGTTAACAATTGAAAACCAGATAACCTCTTAAATCTCATGCATTGGAAAAGTTTGACAGGTTAACGGTGATGATAAAGTTTAAATAAATAAAAAATAGAATTTGACAAACCTGATTTCAAAGGCTGATATATTTTATATTAATGGCGCTGCCAAAAGATTACCACAGTTGTAGAAAACTACTTCAGTCCACCCCAACACAGGCTGGATATTGCTGAAATAAACTGATTAAGCCTCTCTTTTTTTTTCTTCTTCTTTTTTCCCCTGATCCATTAAAACACTACTCATGTAAACAACACATGTGAATAGTTATGCATGTCGTTGGGCTTTTGTATTTTTGTGTGTGTTTGTGCATTTCTTAGTATCTTTATTTCAGTTTTTTAGTTTCAGGTGTCAATTTCAAAGTGTAGGTGTGACCTTTAAACTTCTTACAGAAGCACAGCCATCACTGCCAGCTCCCTTTCTGTGAAAATAATAAGAACCATAATTTGAAATGTCTGTCTGTCAGTAAGATCATGTTATATCTATTTTGTTTTTACATGTGACTTCATAAAAATGATTCTATCATTACTTGAGTTCAGTGTAACAAGAAATTTTCATCTGGATGGATGCCAGATATCGATGTATTACCAACATATTTTACAAGATACATTTGAGGCAATTAACTATGTGTTCTTTTGTTTTTATGAGTAAAATTTCAATAGAGATCCAGATTTTTACCTGATCTGTCTTTTAATGTTTTCTTCCATAGATCATGGATGACGATGACGTATCCATGCATAGGCTTGAAGGGACAGAACCTCAGGCTCAAGTTGGAGGTCTGATAGTAAAGAAAAAGAGTGCTGCTTCAGAGCCTCATGTTTTCCGGGCACCTACACCACGCACCTCTCTGCTGGGCTTGGACTTGCTGGCTGCTCAGAAAAGAAAGGAGCGTGAGATTAGAGAACAAGAAGAGTCTAATGGGGATGAAAAAAATAGAAAGAGGTCAAAAGTTTCCTCCTACAAAGACTGGGAAGAAAATAAAAGTGACTCTGGATCTGATGAGGAGGATGATGATACAAGTACAGCCACTAAAAAGGAGAGGTAGGTCATAGCAGAATATATTTGAGTTCAATTTTTTAAACTTGCAAATATGCAGTATCACTGAACCTGCACGCAACTAAGAATAAAATGGCCTTTTTTGAGAGTTTACTAGTTCTATTTTATGAAAAAGGTGCTAATGGAAACACATATATATATATATATATATATATATATATATAGAGAGAGAGAGACACGCATACAACCAAAATCATCCAAATAAACCTTTCACGATTGTTTGTTTCTTGCCAGTAGGAAGTACCGCGTCACAGGCTCTGAGACTCCCTCCAACCCAGGAGGTGTCAGCGAAGAGTTTAAACGCCGACATGAGCAGCGAGAGAAAGACCGGCGTGAACATGGAGTTTACGCCTCCTCTAAGGAGGACAAGAACAAAGAGAGAGAAAGGAGCAGAGATAAAGGAAGGGAGCAACGGAGTGAGAGAGGTAATTCTAATGATCCCCTTGAAGGCTACAGCCATTTCATTATAGTCCAGTTTGGAACATCAGTAAACAATTCAAACATTTTTTGGTAAAAACCTGATAAATTTTTCCTATTTGGTTTTATTATATGCTTATAAAAATCATATCCATTATGTGGATGTCCAAAAAAAACATTTTTGTGGTTGTTGCAAGAAATTACATTCGTTAAATTCTTTATAGCCTTTAATACTTTCCTGATCAATCTTTGGTAGCAATTACAGCCTAAAGTCCTTTTGAATATGATACTACAAGATAAAAACACTTATCTTATAATAATTTTTATTTTAAAGGGATGCGGTTGTACCAAGTTATGTTGTTAATGTGGTTTTAAAATATAGACAGGCATCAAAGATGACACTCAGATTCTTAACCTGAGGGTGAGGAGGAAGATATCACTGTCAAAAGGGCAATTGAGGGGTGAGAAAGAGGTGGGTTGGGGTTAAGTAGAACTTGGTATTGTGAGCATGTAGTGGAAATTAATGCCAAATTTATGAACCGAATGACCTAGAGGAATAAAATCATTGCAAGGACAAAAGTTCACGGGAATACCAGAGAAACATGGAGATATCTGGAATCTAGAACTTTTTAACTGTTTAGGCCATTGGTCTTCGCAATACATCTCAGTAATACAAATCAGTCTATCCATAGATTTTTAATTAAATTAAAGTGTGGAGTCTGGCTTGGCTACTTCTGGGCATCCTTAGAGTGGTTCTGATGCCACTTCTGTGAGGTTTTGGCAGTTAGTTTTGGGTTTTTGCCCCAGTCTGCAGTCAAAAGATTTTGGTAGCGGATTTTCCTCAACAATGTCTTTTGTGTATCCTTGCATTTATCTTTTCCTCTATTCTAACTTCATTAAGTTCTTAGTCTAAGTCTTAAGTTCTTTCTGCCAGAAAATATCCTCATAAGATGATGCTGTGATGCTGTCATCACCACGCTTCAATGTAGGGATGGTGAAGGTCGGGTGGTAACAGCTGCCGCTTTTATATAATAGCTCCTTTTCCCCTAAAGCCCCTGTACCTCCAGTGTCAACCAGCTCGAAGTAATTCCTACTTTTAAAAAAGATTATTTGACATTTAACATTTTGTTAACCTGCATCTGGCCACAGTTATCTTTTAAAGGTACAGTGGAGGATTTTCGTGAATTTTGTGCAGAACCCTGTACCAGATAGGGAATGCCTATTAAACGCATGCAAGAGCTTGCACGACACTATTTCACCTGGTGCACTCTCCGTTTAAAAGAAAATACCACAATGCTTACAATTTAAATTCAGAGCTCTCCACAAAAAGCATTCTGGGATATATCTGTCTCTTCTGAGGCCTTTCTTTTCTTATCATACATTCGTAGAGACCTTTTCTTTTATGAAACTCGGCCATTCTCAACAAACCGCTGTGAGAAAGATGAGCTTCAATGACTGAAGCTCACCAGAGATAAATGTGTGATAAAGTGCGCATGCTTAGAAAAAGATATCTAACGAGGCGAGCACATAGGACAGCCTTACGTGAACGTATCACCAGAATGATTGACAATTAGGAGGACCACTTATTTAGATCACCTGGAAATTAAAGACTGTCCTCTATACATTTAATTGTGTGATTTATTTAAGATAACCACTAAAACAAATGTACACAGTTATTTTCTTTTATTATAATGACCAGGTAAGGCTCAGATATCTATAGCACAGATAGAAAACATTTATAAAACACCAAAATGTAAATTATCAAAAGGTTTCATATATTATAGTTAGTCCACATAATTTATTATATCAAGCTTAATAGAAGCTTTAGTGGTTTCGGCAATTTGAAGGATCCCCACAAGGCAG